TTAAACAGCTACTTTCATATATTTCAGGAGGAGATTATAACGTAACATGTTGTAAATTCAGCAGCTCTGATCTCTCCACTGCAGCATGGGCTAGCATTTTATCATTTTTAAGCTGTTAAATGACTAAATTTATGCTATTACATATATTTGAGAATCGGAATATCAAATATTTCAAAATATACACAGGACATTTGTCTATATTGCAGAAAAGGGGAAAAAAGGAAAGAAAAAACAAAACATGCTTAAATGACTACGGCAACGGATGTCACAAAACTAACATGTTTCTATAGAAACTTTTTAGCAATGACTTCCAAATTGTTGTCACGTACAAAAAAAAAAAAAAAAACGTATGCAAAGGGAGTCAGCGGGGGTATTCCAAGCCTATGCCTGAATAAGTTACACATTTTTAAACTGGTGTTAACAGATGAGAGTAAAACATATTTCCTCCCATGATAAGTTTTTCCAAGAATCCTGATGATGGATGCAGGCAGGTCAATGTATTATTTCAGCCACAACACTAGCCGTAATTTTAATTAAAGGATTATTTGTGAGGGAAGTCAATGGCTATCAGTTTCCAATAATCTTAAAAAAATGTTTTGTTTTTTTTTTTTTTGAAAAGAAAAAAGAAGAAACTTACTCCATAGAACTTAGGCTTTTTGGAACTACTGGATGGTGAGTAAATGGTGATTAAATTTCACAATTTCAGCTATGAAATCTTAAAAGCTGTTAAATTTCAGACAATAGGCATTTACAACAGTACACATGCATTATACAGTTCAACATGCACAGTTGAAGTCAGAATTATTAGCCCCCCTTTGAGTTTTCTTTTCTTTTTAAAATATTTCCCAAATGATGTTTAACAGAGCAAGGACATTTTCACAATATGTCCGATAATTTTTTTTTTTCTTCTGAAGAAAGTCTTATTTGTTTTATTTCAGCTAAAATAAAATCATTTATTAATTTTTTAAACACCATTTTAAGTACAAAATTATTAGCCAATTTAAATTTTTTTTTTTTGATAGTCTACAGAACAAACCATCGTTATACAATAACTTGCCTAATTACCCTAACATGCCTAGTTAACCTAATTAACCTAGTTAAGCCTTTAAATGTCACTTTCAACTGTATAGAAGTGTCTTGAAAAATATCTGGTCAAATATTATTTACTGTCATCATGGCAAAGATAAAATAAATCAGTTATTAGAAATGAGATATTAAAACTATTATGTAAATTTATGTAAAAATAATGCAGAAATGTGTTGAAAAAAAAATCATCTCTCCGTTAAACAGAAATTGGGGAAAATATAAAGAGTAAGGCGAAATAATTCAGGGGGGCTAATAATTCTGACTTCAACTATGTACTTATCCTACAGCTTATTGTATATAAAAGTGAGCCTATGTGTGAGTGCCTACTCTTGCTGATGGCTGCTTGCTGATTCATTAAAAGTAAATGATAACATATATTATGTTCAATTTCTTGCACAGCCTGATCATTCCACTTAACGATACGTACTGTACATGTATTATCGGCAGCCAGTGATATTACAAGATTGCTTCAAGATTTGTCAGCTAAAATCTTTAATGACTTACTGAAGAAATAATATGCCCAACATCTTGGAGGAGTAAATTCTCATTAAAATATTTTTATGTTTACTTTCTAAAACAAACAATTTACTCACCCTCAAGTGGTTCCAAACATTTATGAGCTTCTTTCTTCTGATAAACACAAAAATATATTTTGAAGAATGCTGAAAACACTCCATTGATAAAACCATTGGCATCCATATTAAGAAAAAATACTATAAAGTCAGTGGTTACAGGTTTTCAACATTTTTCAAAATATTGCTAATGTATCTAAAAAAATCTGAAACAGAAAAAGGCTGAGTAAATAAAGACAATGATTTTTGTGGGGTGAACTATTCCTTTAATGATTAACATTCAGGGATGAAAAGCTATGTGAATTTGTCCAAAGCAAACCCAAGAGATGGATGAACGCAGAGATTGATGACACTAGAAAGTGGCTCATGTTTTAATGCACTGCCAGACAGAAGGTGAAGGGTCTCAAATGACCACAATCAAAGGCTTTTTTCGGCCCACACCATACCCACACATCCTCAGAGGACGAAAGAGAGCTCGGCAACAACAGGCCACCCATGAAATTGCACCAGCATTTCTGTTATTGTAATTTCATTTGGCTAAATGAGTCTGCAACGCACGCGTGGGTGTAATGAAATTAGGATGTAACTGACATCTTCAGCCGGCTGGATAACAACTGTCTGCAGAAAGAAGAAAAAAAAACGCTTGGAATGTTTTGACGTGATTCTGAAATACATAATTTCGACACGCTCCAAATGAGACACGTTACGACTCTGCAAAGTGAAGTGGGAAAGTTAGACTGCGAGTTACAGCTCATTCTGGTCAACAAGCTTGGCTGAGGTTGAGCAAAAGTCTGACAGCTAACAAAGGGCGAGCCAAGAAAACACAACAAAGCAAACTGGAAACTGCAGAGAAAGCCAAATGGCTGCTGGTAGCAAACGCTCATGAAGAGAGAAAACATTGGAGGAGTGTGGGTGCATGTGTGCGTGCGTGGGTGCGTGCGTGCGTGTGTGTGTGTGAAAAGCTCTCAGGAATGTTTATCATTTTCTCTCTCTCGGTTGCAATCTTGCTTTTTCCTTCCTTTCATTTTTTTCTTTCTTTTTTTTTTTTTTTTTTTTGGAGGGATGTTGCCACTTACAGTGCCAACATCCACTTAGTGTCAACCAAGATTGCTATTTGCTGATTGCTGTAAAACTCCTTTCAACACAAGCAGACATAGCCAGCATATGCAAGACCACTATTGTTGTTTTGAACACAAGGTAATTCACAAATTCTTACAAAGCGTAGAAATTGCATTTTAGAATGATTAGAAATGCGATACATGAGGTAAAACCAGGCTCCAGAGCAGATTTTTACAGCTCTTGGCTCCACAAGTCAACCTTATTTCGGCTCATTTGTCTCTGTGTCCATCAAGTAGGATGGTGTAATCTTTGATAGTGCACCTCAAGAAGTCAAAATACAACTTTTTGTTTCAGTTAAACTTCACCTGGTGTGAAAAAAAGTGCAGCGGTGAGAGGCAGACTCCATCAGTCACTGGTAGTTTTGATGCATCTCGCAGCATTCACACCTCTGACCCGGCCAGCAGACTGACAGACATGAGGCGCAGTGCGCACATGTATTTTTCGTGCATGGCATCGATAAAACAATCTAAGCTGCCAAATTTACAACTTTCAACTCAAGAACTGATATCCTATTCAATGAGCTTTATGTTAACATGCAACAACCTGAACGTCTCACTGTTGCCATTTTATTTATGCATCTTCACTAGCTCAAACATGTAAGAAAGTGACAGACAATGAAAGCAACGTTTATCTAGTTAATGCTGAGATGTTTATTTGCTTTCATGTTTAAATATATATTTTATTTTTATTTTAGACCTTTAACTTATAACTTTCATTATTTGCTGTTATACTACTACTACTACTACTACTAACAACAACAACAATAATAAAAATAATAATAATAATAATAATAATAATAATAATAATAATAATAATAATAATAATAATAATAATAATAATAAATATTAAATAACAACAACAGCAACAAAAATAATGATAATATTTTTAAATATTGTTAAATAATATTATTAAATATTAAATAACAATAACAACAACAACAATAATGAGAATAAACTGATTAAAACAAAATAAATCGGGTTCTGGTTCAATTAAACATTTAATAATAAGATTATAATTATGATGATGATGATGATGATAATGATAATGATGATGACTATGAACATGATCATTATCATCATCATCATCAATGCTGAGATTTTTATTTTTGGAAACAAGACATATTTTACATTTAATTAAATTTTTTTATTTGAGATCTTAATATCACAACTAACGAACTGTATTACTTTGCATAAAATTAATTGTATTATTTTTATTTTAGATTTTAATATTATAAACAACCATTTGTACCATTTTGTATAAAATAATTGCTGTTTTTATTATAACTGTTGTTGTTGTTGTTGTTGTTTAATTAATTAGATTAGAAGATTGCGTAAATAAAATTATAAAATACAAAATGAAATTAGTTCTTTTTAAGTTCAACATGTCATTGCATTATAATATTAAGAAGAAGAAGAAGAAAAAGAAGAAAAAGAAGAAGAAGAAGAATATTATTAGTATTATTATTATTTAATTTTTATCTTTATTTTTATTTAAATAATATTTAAATGTATATTTTAATCATGCATTTTCAGTAATGTTACATTCTTCAGGGTGTTGGGATGTTTCAGCAATAATTCTGATTCTGACACATTTTTCTTGATGCCCAATTATTTGGATATTCAGAGACCTAAATATCAAAATTATTAAAATAACTGCAGTTGCATCAGAATTTTATATCTAATGTGAAAAAATGTGCTTCTAATAAAGACTTCAATTTAAGACCAATCATCTTCATTACATTACTTTCTGGAGATGCCACAGAATCAATGATTTGAGCTGCCTTTTGCAGAATACTGTACATAAAAATTGTCTTTTGATAGAGTGAGTATATCAAAATTATAAAATTACAGGAAATATTACCTACAAAAATAAAGAAAAGATGCCAACAAAAACATCTTGTTGAGACAAAAAGATAAATATAATTTCTGTGCTTAAATATCTGTCCATTGTCAAAGTAATTTTTTCTAAATCTTTATAAACACAATTGATTGAGTCCCAAAAAAAAAAAAAAATTAATAAATGCTATTAATTTACTCTTTTTTAACCTATTAAATTAGTTTTATTATTTAAACTAATCTAGATCAATCTGATAAAAATATTAATAATATTATATAATTACTTAATATATATAGTACTTATTATAATTATACTGTATAATTAGTCTTTTTTCTTATTTTACAGTGACCCAGATCCTGTTATCAGCTGCTAAAGCAGAAAACTCACTCAGTGCTATCTTCGCCAGGTGGAACCGGTTGGCCCAGGAAATCTTGCTGACGGGGCTCGGTGTGTTGAAGACCACCGTGAAGCTCACAGGACGCCCGGACCTGCAACATAAGACAAAAACATTGGACATGCTGATAATTTCCCAACTAGAAATAGTCGTTAAAGCCCTATGAGGAAGATGGTCTTTTCATAAATGTCCCAAAAAACACATCACAACGGTGGCACCTTAATTATAAGTATTAATAATTCAGTGAAATAGTTTTGCTGCAATGCACCAAGCAGCCCTGGGGAGAGCAGCTGCCACTCTCCCCAATACAGCTCCACCTCAAGCTGAGTCTGGATCTGTGTGCTGAATCTGATTTTTCCTCAAGGCTGCTCTTATAGAAGAAAAATAAGTAGAAAAGAGAAGGTATGGAAATTCCCACAACCCCAAACATAACCTATTTCTGCTTTAATTGAATCAAATAGCCAATATGAAGGTCAAGGAGAGCTGGACGAAGAGGGTCAGGCCAGGAGATGAGGTGAGCTTGCCGAGTTGATCTGCATTCTGAGCCAAGATGTTTAGCAGGTTAATGGAGCAAGATTTTTCAGCAATGTCTTCTACAAAGGGGGGATTGAGCATGACTGAGCAGCACCGTGTGCTTCTGGATGGGATGAGGGTCTTAATAAGACTTATTGAAGGAGATTGGCCACGAAAAATACACCTAGATTTGACTTTGAAGAATGACAGCTTAAAATTGAAAATGTGATTCAATTTCTGGATCCGATCATTATAAACTCTGTTATCTAACCTTGGATATATCTACATAGGGAGGAAAGTGAAGTTCTGGTGAAGTGCAGTACTATGGTGTTCATAAGTGCTGTCTTTTTATTTATTTATTTTTTATTATTGTTAAAAAAGCATACAGGCTGATAAAACAATATAATCAAATATATAAATTCAACTACTCTTTAAAATAGGGTATCCAATGAAAAGAAACTAACACAAAAACAAAGTACAGTATCAAGTATCAATTATACAAATTAAGGCAATCATTTTGAATCCTGATCTTTTTTTTTTTTTTTTTTTTTTGCAATAACCATGGAGATTTTGTCAGCAGCTGAACTCCAGGGGTTCTATTTTGACGGTCCATGCATAGAGCACAAAACGCAGGGCGCAAAGGCTTTTAGGGCGTGTCAGGACGCGTTTTTGCTAATTGAAGGACGGGAAATCTGCCTTGCGCCGTGGCGCATGTTCTAAAAGGGTTGAGTTTATTTTCTTAATGAGTTATAGGTGTGTTTTGAGAATAAACCAATTAGAGTCTCATCTCCCATTACCTTTAAGAGTCAGCTGCGTCGCGCCAAGAGCGCATTCGCTATTTACAGGACGCAAAGTAAGTCTAAGTGGAAAAAATGAGCATTTCACAAGCAAACAATTAACAGTTAACAGTTTTTTAACAGAAAACTGTTAAACAGAGCATCTACTGCGTGAGAATGAGAGATAATGGATCACTTTCACTTTCGCTCTTGGATAGGGAAACCTTTAGGCACAGACATCAATTAGTTTATAAATAAATACTTTTGTTTGTTAAGCGCAAATATTCGTTTCAAAACTATTTCTAAATTCAGTTCTAATTTCCAGCAAACGAATAAATGAATAATAATAGCAAAATGTGCTCAAAAACCGGAGTTATATCCTAAAACACATGCTGTGCCCCATATGGTCTAAAACCTGACAGGTGTGCAAATCTAAGCTTGTTTTTAATAAAACAAATATAAATATGGATATAATAAATAATACTGCTAATAATAATAACATTATACAAAAGCAAATTGTTATGAATGAACTGAAAAAGCCTCCCGAGATGAAGACATAAAAGCAGTGGTTTTTCATATTTATAGGCTAGAAAATAATATGTTTTGTAATATTTTAATCCTTTATATTTATATTTTATATCTATTCTTATTATATACTATATATATCCTTAATATTTAAATTATTTCATATGTAAAGATATTTTCCTATTGCTCTCCTGTGCGTATTAGGCAGTGCGTAAGCGAGGCGCAACTCTGCACCGGAGTTTAGACCGGGTTAGTTTTGGTCTAATGAAAAATCTATTATAGATTCTCAAAATAGCAACGCGCCAGCGGTCCGCCTCAGAACGCCTTCCTATTTAGACCAGAACGCCTATGGGCGCAAAAATGAGAGCTAATGCATTTGCTATTTAAACAGCGTAGCGCAACGCCTCAAAACGACTCTTGCGCCAAGCTGAAACTACCAAAAGACTACTGCACCACGCCTTGCGCCACACTGCGCCGGGTGTATGATAGGGCCCCAGATCTTTAATGTACACATGTGTACCAATTTCACTCGAGCTGTGGATAATTCAAACATTATAATGACCTGAAGTTGCACCTACCACTTGTCCAAATTATGTGGAGGCAGCCAATGATGGGCTAGTAGTTTTTTTGCAGACATTAAGCCAGCCAGCCAAACAGCTTTCTGAAGCTTCAACGTAGAATCATTGCTCAGTAATATAATGGAAGGTTTCACCTGTACAGGATGTTCAATAATTTTAAATAACACACACCTCATTCTAAATTTTTTTGTAGTTTTCCACATTCCCACATCATAAGAAAAAAGATCCAAGTTCCTGGTCCAGACATTTTTCACAGAGATGACTAAAGGAGGCGTTGATACGATGTGTTTTGAGTGGGGTCAAGTAGGTTCTATAAAAAAGTTATAGTGATTATACAGTAAGCCCTGTCTTTTGAAGAATCAGTCAATCAGTCAACACTGTTTTAAACAGTATCTCAATTAAATGTAAACGCTAACATTTTTAAATGTAATGCTTTTTAAGAAATGTTACATTCTTCAGTGTCACAGGATCGTTCAGATTCTTGTTTAAAATTACGTTGCATCAGACTTTTATATTTAATGTGAAATAATCAGCTCCCAATACACACCTCAAATTAAGACCAATTTTATTACATTGTTTTCTGGAGATGCCATAGAATCAATTATTTATGCTCCCATTAAAAACTATTAATAAACAAAAACTTTTGCTAAATACTTTACAAATAAAATTTATTGTAATAGAGTGATGTATATTAATATTACAATTTTTAAAAAAGATTTAGAAAAAGATGGCTAAAAAATATCTGGTTAAAACTATAAGCTAACTATATGTTATATGCTTATATATCTGTCAGTTTTTAAAAAATCCTTGTAAACAGATTTTTTGAATGTGTCTTAAATATTGTTAATCTACTCTCCCTCAAACCTATTCAAGATTTTTCATTATTATTACTTTTATCATTGTTTAACCATTTGGCAAAAAAACAGGTACTGGAAAAAAATACGTTTGTTCTTATTTTATAACTGTATTTTCCTTTTTTTTTTTTTTTTTTTTTAAATAATGCATTTTTAATAGGATACAGAAATTCTGAAATCCGAGGGCTTAAAAAAAATAGTTAAATAATATAAAAATAATAAATAAATATAAGAATAAATCATGTTTAAAGATGTCCAAATTATTTCTTAGAAATGCAAAATCAAAAACTGAGTTTTAATATGTTTACATACATATTATGCTTATTATATAGGAAAATTACTAAATATATTCATGGAGTATGATATTTACTTTCATTATATGGATTTTTGGCATAAAAGAAAAATAGACAGACAGACAGACAGACAGACAGACAGACAGACAGACAGACAGACAGACAGACAGACAGACAGACAGACAGACAGACAGACAGACAGACAGACAGACAGACAGACAGACAGACAGACAGACAGACAGACAGACAGACAGACAGACAGATAGATAGATAGATAGATAGATAGATAGATAGATAGATAGATAGATAGATAGATAGATAGATAGATAGATAGATAGATAGATATACTGGTTTAATAGTGCCAGGGTGACATATTCGTTTGGGTACTCGTTCTGATATGCTACCCAATTCTGGTCTTTTAATCATTTATTCATTCATTTTCATTTATTTATTCAATAAACCACTAACTAATCCAGCATATGTTTTACACAGTGGATGTCTTTCCAGCCGCAACCCAGTAATGGGAAATACCCATACACATTCATTCACACACCCACTCATACACTACAGTCAATTAAGATTATTCAATGCACCTATAGAGCATGTCTTTAGACCAGGTGTGTCCAAACTCGGTCCTGGAGGGCCGGTGTCCATGGGAGTTTAGCTCCAACCCTAATCCAACACACCTGAACAGCTAATCAAGCACTTACTAGATATACCTGAAACTTACTGGCAGGTGTGTTGAAGCAAGTTGGAAATGAACTCTCCAGGACACCGTCCCTCCAGGACTGAACTTGGACACTCCTGCATTAGACTGTGAGGGAAAGCAGAGCACCTGGAGTAAACCCATGCCAACATGGGGTGAACATACAAACTCTACTCAGAAATGCTAAGTAGCCCAGCCGGGACTCGAACCAGTGACCTTCTTGCTGTGAGGCGACAGTGCTAACCACTGATCCACTGTGCCGCCCTTTCTGCTCTTTTACTCGATCAATAAACTAATTATCCAATCCGGGATCCCAAAACCACACAAATGAGTCTTGTGACCCATTACACCCTTGCTGAACAGTAGTTCTGCCCTCCCCTTAACACAAGCGCTACAAGTCTTCAATGAGTCAGGAAGCCATTCATCACTTGTAAAAAATATACTTTGACTTCTTTTCCAACACTGCGCCTGCTAAAGAGAGTCTCTCAGCAAAGGCTCAGGGACACGGAAAGCAATTCACATTCAAACATCATTAGAAGGTAATTGACTGGAGAATACGATGACGCCTGCCTTGGCTACTGTCACACCAGCTCTGCATTCATAGCCAGCCAAGAGGAGACAGAACGAGTCAAAGCGAGAGAGAAAAATGGGGGAAAAAAACATGAAGCGTAAAAAAAAAAAAATAAAGCGCACAGATGCAGAAGAAGGAACTAAAACCTTCGCAGGGGTTTAGAGATAAAGAAAGCGACTGAATTCAGACTGAAATTCAGGTGAAGCCTGGCTTCTTTCTAGAACGGCAAACATAAACAACAACTCGCAGATTTCCTTCACTCAGCACAATGCTTTCAC